GCATTTATGTGGAGCTGATATTCATATGTATGTCTGTATAACGATATAACTAATTCGTCTCATTTTTGGTCACCTAACTTTTTTAGACAATACTTTTACTTTGCATGTGTTCTACGAACAGACTGGTTTCCTGTGAGCAAATAAGAGCAACAATGTTACATACAGGGTGGGACAAAAGTAGGTTTACAGTTTTTCGTATGGAAAATAATGAATAGCTAATAATACAGGAAGAAACTGATTCACATACTCACAAAAGCAAACCTATTTTTGCCCCCTGTGTTGTATCCTGTTTTATGTTAGTGCTGGTGGTGGTTTGGGGACAGTGCCATTTCAGAATGGGCCAGCCTTGAAAAATAACCCACTAGACCTAAAATAATAACATATTACACGCTGTTTTGGATGACAACAAAAATGCGTATTTTCTGATTTCCACATAAAACTATAAATTCAAGAACATATCATTTAGTCAGATAATTAGAGACACGCTTGATTCGATGTTCTGTGACTTCTCTCGCGGAACGGAATTACATGAGCAAGGAGAAGGGATCGGAGGTCTTCCCTCTTGCCTGAAAGAAGCAGATGCTTCCTGGCTCGCTCTTACACACAGTCCTCGAATGGTGATATTTCATTTCCCCTGCCAAGTGGCTAATAATGTAACTGAGAGAATATTTACATCCCCCGTCGTCATTATATAAATTTATATCACAAGTTTCCCTCCTCATATTTTTGGTCAGAAAAAAAAAAAAAATCTGCAACCAGTGAATCAAAGATTCAGCAAGAGCCAGTTTCCTCTGGATTACGATTCCTCTTCTGAAAACACCCTCTCTGGTCCCACTCTTACCCCTCACTGGAAATCGAAGATCCGCTCCACCGTCCTTAGCAGAACTCTCCGATTAGGTGGGGCTCAGCTCGTAATACCCTCTGAGTGACCTCTGAGGCCTTCACTGAAAATGTTTCTGAGCGGGGAAAACACATGGTGTAAACGATATGCTCAGCCTCCTAAAACGCTATCGAAGCAGAGCGCTGGGATTTGCTTGTGTTTTCATAGCCGGGGCGACCAAGAAAACGTAAAAAATGACCTGGAAGCTGTAAGTACCGCATCGAACTCCCCTCTCCCACTACATGGAGGAACCACAGGGCGTGACTGGTGATTGCTCACATAGCTCATGCCAGGGCCCGTGCAGCCCCAGCTTGCAGTTATCCTTCCTTATGGAAACAGTTTTTCAGAGCTAGGGCAGTTTGAAACGGGCTACCAAGGGCAAGTTTTCCCCGAAATACTCCCTCCCGTGTGCATGGGTGGCCTGGGCATTCTTTCACCATCTTCTGCATTAGCCACACAGGTTGGATGTTCAAATCTGCAATTAATTAGGTTCCCTAGTAGCCTGCGTGGAATAAATGAATGCTCTCCATCCAGCCCACTTAGACAAAACCCATCAGGACAGTTGGCACATTTTTGGCATGGTCAGCAAAGTGAGAAAAATGTAAATGACCCATGCGGACCAACTGGGCATCTGATGAGGCCTCTGGAAGACAAGTGTAAAGCAGTGTGTACCTTCTGCCCAGCGGCTAGTGGTTCTGCAGTGTGGCCTGTGAGACACAGCCAACTGAAAATGGGCACAAAGCTCATCAGGTGTGATGCAAACCTTTCACTTTCACTTGCTCATGATGTCCATATTCCAAGAATATTAATTTACCATTAGAATATTTTTTTTAATCCTCACCCAAGGATATTTTTCTATTTATCTTCAGGTAGAGTGGGAGGGAGAGAAAGGGAGAGAGAGAGAAACATCAACGTGAGAAAGACACATCCATTGGTTGCCTTCCGTAAGACCCCCACCAGGGCCAGGGACGAACTGCAACCAAGGTATGTGCTTTTGACTGGAATCGAACCCAGGATTCATTGGTCCGTGGGCCGATGCTCTAACTACTGAGCCAAACTGGCCAGGGCACCATTAGAATATTCTAAAAAGATGATTAGTAATAAGATTATCGATAGTTATTTAAAATGTTTAAACAAAGAACTAACTCTAAGAAACAAATATTCAAATCCATTTATTTCATCCTATAAGGATATATGAAGGCATTCTATTTTAAGGTTATGTCTAGACTATTTTTCCATTATCCAAAATACCTTACAGTTTTTCTCATGAAACATTTCCAAAATTGCTAAACTTAGTCTTTAGAAAAAAAGGTTTCACTACTTTACTAGAATCATACATTTTCATGCAGATGTACTTACATGTGACAGATATTCCCACAGAAAGTCAACATCATATTAAAATTGTCACATGTATTTGTTTTATGTGGAGGCTAGTTGGATAAAAGCGGATGAGGTTGGGGGACCCTAGTCATCTGGGAGGCAGAAAAACATAAATCCATGTAAATGTTTACAGAAAGTAATATTTTCCTCCAACTTTTTGTTAATGTTTTCATCAAATGCATAAAAATTAAGTCAAGCCAAATGACTTTTAGGCTCCCTTTTAAGAAATTAAAGAAACTCATAAGGCAAAAAAAAAAAAAAGGTTTCTGGTAAATTTCACTTCATAATACCTTTGTAATACACTTTCTACATAATAGCATTAGTTCTAAAACAGGTGAATAAATGAAAATTAAAAATTTAAAAGATCAACAAATGAGTTTGATTTGCTTCAGAAGAAATGATTGTATAATTTTCAGACCTTTTATTTCTGTTTATGTGAATACATAAGTATATTAACATAGGTACATACTTTTTGTAGTTCATATAATAGTTTGTATAACAGTCTTTAAAGGTCTTTTCAGTTCTAAAGCCTGGCTTCTAACTCCTGTCTGCTCCGTTGGCCTGATGTCTGATTCTTGTCTGACGAATTTTATTCCTTCCTTTACCTTTTCAGATATTGAAAATACAGTTCTTTTAAAACTCATTTGTACAGTTCGATTATCTGTAGTTTGCAGACTACGATTTCTATTTTCACTGAGTGGGCTTACTGTCCACTGTGAGTAGAAACTGGTTTTCATGCTTTAGAGCTGGTACCTACGAGCCCATGAGGGCCTGAATGACCTTATCTGGGGTCACGAGTCCTGGATTAGGGGTGCCTCTGATAGTTGAGTGCTCACAGGGCTGCCTGTTCCACACTCCATGGGATTCACTGTTTCTGACCAGCTTTTAGGTGAGCTTCTGGGTTTGGAGTATTGCACTGTAGGAACAGTACTAGAATTCTCACCTTTATGCTAAAGCTGATTTTTCTGCTCTTACTTCCACCATATTTTACATAGGCCTGTGTCCTATTGGAGAGAGAAAGGTCAGTTCTAAAGCATATCATCCAAATGGTTATCATGTTAGCATATTGTCTCTGGAGATTCTCTTTGTTTTAGCCCCTGGAAATGTCGTCTTCTTTGTAAGCCTAACCATGCCTTTAATTTTATTTTCAGATATTTTATCAACATCTCTATGTGTTCATAGGGTGACGGAGAACTTCCTGTATGAACTTGAACTTGTCATAATGGTCAGATATATAGCTCAAATTTGACTTGTCTATTTTTAAGCAGCATTCTATTACATACATTTAAAATATCTGTATCCACCTCTGGAAAGTGTGCCTCCGTAGTTATAATGCTGGCTGGTACACTGAAGGGTTGTGGGTTTGATTCCAGTCAAGGGCATGGACCTGGCTAGCAGGTTCTATCCCTGGCCCCCACCGGGTCAGTGCAGGAGGCAACCCATCAATGTGTCTCTCTCACATCGATGTTTCTGTTTTTCTCTCACTCCCTACCTCCCTTCCATTCTCTCTAAAAAAAATAAATTGAAAAAATATCCTCAGGTGAGGATTAACCAAATAAAATAAAATATCTGTATCCAGTTGCTTAGTATATCCCGAGACTAAGATGTTTATTTATATCATTTAAAATATATTTCAGCATATACCTGTAAATAATTTAACTTTCTAAGCTTCTTGGATTAACTAATTTTTGTACTAAATAAATCTAGAAGAAAACTTTAAAAAAAATTTATAACACATACGAACGAAATAAATCTCTCAAGGGAAAAAAAAAAAGTAAAACGGAGGAGAAATACTCTTAATCCATACACATTCCCCCTATACTTAGTAAATTCTCATCCCTTCTCTCTAATTCCCTTCCTTTTAGAAAGTCTGTTCTCATAAGTTGTGCAATCAAGTGAAATCAAGTTAAAAGCAGAACAAAACAAATCAAAGTGTGAATGAGAGAAAAACGGAGAAGGCAGAGCGGTGAGTCTGGAAACGTCCACAACTAGGTAAGCCAAATCAAGTGCTGTTCTCCTCTCTGCCCAAAAGACGGAATTAGCAATAAACAGTACAGTATTATTAATCATCATCCTTTATTCTCTGGTGCCGTCATTCTAAAGAATGTCTAGAAAGCAAACACACTGGACTGGATATCTGCCATGTCATCCTATGCTTTGGTCAAACTGCATGAGCCACATAGCCGGATTCGCTTCGCGTCAACAGATGTTAGTTCAAGAAATATAAAAGACTGAAATAAAAACATATTTTTGACTTAAAGAAGAAAGGTGCCTTTCTTGTTTTTGACCTGCCTGCTCTGGAGCAACTCATCTGTAAAGTAGAGGAAGTTCCTTTAATTTTACAAACATCAGTGTCAGCAATGCTAATTTGTAAACAGGAGTTGCTGACCTCGATCTGAAATCTCCATACACAGGTAATGCTGCTAACGGGCAGAACGGCAGCATACCTTGTTTTCTTTCTAGGTTCTCTACCTAAACCAAAATGGTGTCTGACATTCGAAATCAGCATTTCTTTGGGATTTTCCTTTTTTTCCTCTCTGATTTCCATTTTCCAAGACTCGTGAGAGAAGGCACCCACTGCCTATTTAAAAGTTGGGCTCTTATAAACATTTTATTTCAGTTCACTTCCAATTTAAGTGCCATGACAATGCTAGTCTTTTTGATGGTTCTACAAAAAGAACACCTGGGATATAGAATTTCAACAATGACACAAGGAGCAACCTTGCACTTGAGTACTTACCACGCAAAACTGTGAGTCTGGTAGATACGCTTATTTCTCCGATGTTATTTGAGGCCACGCATTCATAAATGGCCTCATCCCGTGGAGTCCGTAAGGGCTGTATTCTGAGAACTGATCCAGATCCATCGTCAAACTCTATTACCTATTAGAGGAGACCACAGCTGTCACAGGTGTTGTTACAATTGTCCACCTTTCAGCTAAACCTCTTAATGAAGTGGTGAGCCAGCCCTTTTGGCTCAGAATACACTCAGCACCATTTTGAGACTGAATTTTGATACAGGGGTGAAAAAGAACAGTTGGACTAATTTAATGAATCCAGTGAACAAACAGAAAAAGACACGAAACTTTATATGCAAAAAAGTAGATGTCTCGTCTCTGCTGAAAACCATCCAGGGTTTACTCACAAAAATAGTCTAGTAGGTGTGTCTAGGGCAATTGGACCCTATTAATTCTGCAAGAGACTGGCTTCTATGATGGATAAACTTCTCAAATCATTCTGAAAACATATCTGCACATGCAGATCCATCCACTAATCAGACGGTAAGGTGGACAAATACTGTGCCTCCAAGGACAGCTCTCCTGGTTTCACATGTCTCAGCCTGAACAGTCTAGATGAGTGAACCATGAAGGGAAACTGCATAAATCTAGCACTTAGGCAGCCAACAAGGAGGCTTTCACAACCAAGAGCCTGATGGCATGCATTAATTTTGCCATAAATCATTCCAGTGTTTGTTCTAGCTTAGCATTTTCTGCATTTTTAGGGCATTCTTGCTGTAAAATGGAGGCTCGCTTCACCAGGCAGAAAATTAATGTTCTAAACAGTCAGCCTAAATTCACTCTCATTATAAACTCTACTCTGAGAGAGTTTAACAATCCTAGGTACTTCTCGGCTAGTTCAAGTACTACTTTTAAACAATGATGATGATGATGATGATATTAATAAATATATATACACAAAACCATGCAGTCCTCTCCTTATCTATTCTATAACTATGCTGAGTTCTCTCAGCTGTTCACCAAGATGCTGTGTGTTTTTCCTGAATTTCCTTGTGAATTATACATACAGGAGCTTAAATTGTGAATAGAGAATGCCTTATAAATACAGTTACGGAATGTTCAATCCTGTGTGTGTGTGTGTGTGTGTGTGTGTGTGTGTAAAAGAAAAAGGTATTTTAAAATGTCTACTTCAAGTCCTTTCTGAATTCTCTTTATGTTTTAAATCCACAAAGATAATCAAAATTTCCCACTTCTCAATGCAACATAATTCATTTTCAACTCTATTAAGCACACATTTAGAATGAATCTACTATGCATCTTTGGAGTTTCACAGTTAAGAAAATCTTTGTCAAACATGCAATACTTTTTTTGGAAAGTATTTATGAGCATCCTGTGGCTTAATGAGGAGAAAGATTTAAACATCTTTAACACCAATTTAAATTCTGATTCATTAATTGTTACCTGCCATTGCACATTTACCTTTCTGAACTATTTCCTAGATTTAGACTTAGTCACACAACAAACACTATACCACATGTTAAAAGCTAGTGCTGCACTTTCTGATGTGAAAACCCTACTTCATATCCAGTATTTAAGGATGTGTTCCTAATCTGGGCCAGATACTGTACTTGGCACTGAAGACAGAAGAGGAAGTAAAATCAGTCATCCACTGCTCTCATGGGCCTTATAAATAAGTGAAACCAAAAATAGACATATATAATGCTACAGATATTAAAGATACTCAACTCAAGTCTTGATACCATTTGATGAAGGAGCTTTGTGCAAAAATAAATGATTTGCCCTAAATGTATTTATGTGACTCTTATTAGAAATTATGTGCTAAACAGAGCTCATACTTTCAATATTTACAACAATTTAGTCTTTGTTATAAGATTTTGTCAAGAAGCCATGATCAATAGCAAGCATGATATCAAACTACTCTTTGACAAAAAATATTCAGTTTTATTTAAATTTTGTAAAAATGTGCATACATATTTTTGTGTATACATAAAATGTTAATACACATCATTTTCTATAAGAAATAGTTTCCAAAGATTATTTAAGATAATTTTTGTCTATTTTTAAATCACTATAGGGATCTGAACAATTAAAACAATTAAATTTTTTTCACTTGTAAACTACAGTCTAAATTTCAACTTTCACTAGTGTAATTAATTAGATCCTTTAGGCATTTAGATCACTTATCGCTCTATAATTACTGATGAAAAATGAGTATTATCAAACAGTTCTGAAGTTCTTAGTTGCTAAATTTCTTTTAACTAGAAATTGCCTTTAATTTGCCAATTTGTGAATAAGGCCATGACATAGATTGGAAACTTAAGCATGAGGAAGTAAGTTTTATAATTTTAAGGGCTTAGTATCATCTAAGAATCAAATTCTTCTCTTTATATCTTAAACTATAAGCATAATATTTTGTGTTTCTTCCAATATTTTTCTGTGTATCTCACCACCTACTTTTCTCCTCCAAAATGAGAAAGTTTCTAAACCATACGGCTCTCCCAAATACCAAAAAGATATCTGAATTATGCTTCATCTTCTTCATTGTACTGAGCTTTCTTGAATAAAGAAAATTTATTTATTCAACAGGCATAACTGCAATCTCAACCCAGTTGGGTATGTTTCTTATAGAGTAGTACTTTACACTGACATACTGCAGCAAATTTCTCATTTTAGTTTATGATAATTGCAAAACACAGGTGCAAGGTAGAGTGGACAACTTCATTTGCTGCCCACCGCCCATTCCCCTTGTTCCTGGTAATAGGAACTTGAATTCCCTTTGGGAAAACACAGTTTTCTCATTTCAAGTCATGGGGTTGAATGGGACTGACTTCGTTCCCAGCAGAAGAGGTGGATTCTAATTAACTTAAAAAGTATCATTTAGCCCTCCACACAGATTGGTTTAGGGATGAACATGTAACTCAGTAAGAGCCTATGACATAGAAACACAAGAGCATAGGAGGACTTCTCTTATCCTCTAAGCTCAGTTGAGGGAGGATGAAAAACTCCATCTTGCAATCCTAAGGGGAAGCCCTCTGAGGAGAAGGTTGGCAGATGCTAGGAACACTAGCTGAGTCTTAGTATAAGCAGAGACGAAGGCAGCAAAATGAACCCTCAACTGCTCCTTTTTAAAAAGCCATTTGAAGTTGTATTTCCCATCACATGCAACATGAAGAACGCCCTGTCGCAGTGATGATGACACCTTTTAACAGAGTAAAACAGGCAAGTAACACCCAAACCAAAGATACAGCAGACACGTTCTTCCCCCAGAGAAACAGAACAATGGACCTAATACCTCGAATCTCTGATTGCTGACTTTCTTTCCTTTCTTGTTCCAGACAATTTTAGGTCGTGGGTCTCCTGTGGCTTGGCAAATAAAAGAGGCAACTCCACCAGAGACCCCCGTCTGGTCAACAGGAGTTCGTGTAAACCTCGGAGGTGCTGAAATGAAAAGAAAGTATCATAATTAGATGGAAAACTGAAACAGACGATTGCCCCAATGGCACAGCTCTTCCCATTTCCATCAGCGCATACATACAAACGCACAGGCTTCAACGTGCCAGAAGTACAAACTTAGGAAAGCACCTTTCACTGTTGAGGGTAGTTTAAAGAGGAGGGAGGGTAACTTTCTGGTCAAGTTATCAGCTTGTGCTTTTACTGCAGAAATCTGTACTAAGGCAGAGATCCAATAACATCACACAGGAATTTGCATTACCAGTATAGAAAAAAAAAATCCAATTTGTCCTCTGCAACAAAATAATCTCATTAATCAGAGTGAGTAAAAATGTGGTTCTTTGCTTTGATGCCGCTATCAGGACACGGCCAGAAAGCCTTGCCAATGCTGAGCTATTAAAGTTAGTGACATTGAAGGGAAATTCTAGGAAATTTTAAAGGTACAAGAAATATTGCCCTGAATTAAAAGGTTTGGCAATAAACAGAAGTGGAAAAAATGGTGGAGTGTCTCTCTAACCCAGATATTCGGGTTGCCTTACTTGAAACTGAACTCCACACTGTACATCAGAGATGAGTCAAGAAGACTCCAAAGTCATAGCCAAGAAAAAAAAAAAACCCGTTTGTTGAGAAAGATGTAGAGTTAAAGATTCCTAAGTATGAAAGGCTAGAGAATGAAGCTTTCCAAAGCCCTTTATGAGTTCCTAAAGTTCCCCATCCCCTGAAAATTCTACTCATTATCCATTTTGTGTTTCCAGAGATAAAACTCTTTTACTGAGTCTTATAAAATGCAGGTAAATGTATATGCACAAGGATACTCATCATGTCAGTTATTTAGCAAAGATTATCAGTACCCAAAATATAAAATACTATAGGAATTGATGGCGGAAAAACCATGGCATAATGATGAAACATCGTGCAAATAGTAAATGTTACATCTTAAAATTTTTTTATAATATGACATGAGAAGTACTTAAGATTCAATACGCCACAAAAGCATCATACATAAATATATATGAGACAGAGAATAAAAATGACCCCCCCAAAAGAAAAGATGTGACAAATATGCTAAGACACTATTGACAGTGGCTTCAGGATTATTTTAATTTTTTCCTACCTCTTTATATTTTTCTTGTGTCTTTGGGTTTTTTAAATTATGTTTAAGCTAGACATTTTAAAAAAAAAAAAAAAAAACTTTTTTGTTATTAATCCTCACTAGAGGATATTTTTTTTCTCATTGATTTTTAGAGAGAGTAGAAGGAAGGGATGAAGAGAGAAAGGGGGAAAGAAAGAGAGAGACAACAATGTGAGAGAGACACATCAATCGGTTGCCTCCTGCACTCACCCCCCAACTGGGACCAAGATTGAACCTACAGCCCAGGTACATGCCCTTGACCAGCAGCTAAACCCAAGACCCTTTGGTGTGCAGCCTGGCACTCTAACCACTGAGCCACACAAACCAGGGAAAAAAACAAAAACATTCTACTTTTTCATTTTCTTTTCCATTTTCTAAACCCTAGTACAATTTTCTCTTCTCTCCTACTGTTTTTCAGTTCTACACCATTGAAAATGGTTTTACGTAATTATAGCTAACATTTAGTTTGAAAACAGTCCTCAGGTTCTAAAGAGGAAGAAAATAATCAAGTTCACAACTGTATGCGCATCACGACTACTCTCTCTGCCTTCCGTGTCTGCCTTCCGTGTCTGCCTTCCGTGTCTGCCTTCCGTGTCTGCCTTCCGTGTCTGCCTTCCGTGTCTGCCTTCCGTGTCTGCCTTCCGTGTCTGCCTTCCGTGTCTGCCTTCCGTGTCTGCCTTCCGTGTCTGCCTTCCGTGTCTGCCTTCCGTGTCTGCCTTCCATGTCTGCCTTCCATGCCGCGTGTTTCCCACACGATGTTCTCCCCAACCTGGCAGCGGGTTCTCACTCTCGTCTGGATTTTCTCGGGAAGCCAGACTCCCATCGCGGCTCCACTATGATCATATATATGTATCATCTTGGGGGGGGGGGGAATGTTTTCCCTAAATTTCCTGTTTCTTACCTATAAAAATATGAGATGTGAAACGAATTATTTTGCAGAGATTCCTCCCAATGTTAAGGCGTCCCAGATTAGTGCGGTATTTCCACCATGGGGGAAGGGAGGTTGAGAGGCAGCATTGCAATGCTACTGCTAGGAAATGAGTCTTCACCTAAATCAGCAAATTCAAGGTATTGATAGTGAAACTGGTGGGAACATAGGTCCCTGTCTGTTCAGAAGTGTTAGGAAGGAAGGCGGGCTCTAACAGCCCTGCTAGATATCACATCCTACGGCATCTCTGGGTAGCCCTACAAACTAGATGATTACCAGAACTGCAGGAAGTACTCAAAATGATTTGAAATTGACTAACAGTGAGAGGAATAAAAAACACTGCACACTGATGTCACTTCTCTGGAAACAAACAAAAAAGACATTAGAGTTTTTATGTTTTTCATTTTGCTGTTGCAAACAATGCAAATTGATAATAACCACATACTTGTCAGTACCGAGTACGGAAATCATAATTATGCAACTGAAATTCTTAGGAAATTGCCCTGAAAAAATTGCTTATTAAACGCTATGATACTGTCATTTTTAAGTACCTTCCTTTCAAAGCCCATAGCTTCAACAATCAACCCTGAAAAATACCAATTTTAATAACCCACTTTCCCATTTTAGTTCTGTTTTAAAATTTCTTGCAAGAATATGTGAATGGAGTGAATCATGTAAAAATGACTATGTACAAACCAGAAAGTAAATAGCAGAATAAATTCAATAAGTAATAGAATAGAGGATGTCATTTTCACTGTACTGAGATTTTCTTGCTTTCTTCCTTCTTTCCTTCCTCCCCCCGCCCCACAGGGCTAACATCTCATTTCTCATCCCAAAGTATGAGGGATATTGGGGTTTTGATAATCTGCAAAGAGGCAATGGCTATTAAAGCAAGTTCTTCTGAAATACTGGTGAATATGAACAGTAAAAAGTAAAATTAATATTTAACACAGAAACCTTTTTTTCTAAATGGAAAGCAGAAAAGGCAAATTCCCATATACTTGGGGAAGGGAAGTAACTACTATTCCAATATTCAAGTGTGTTTCTTATTTATTTTCACTTCAGGTCATACCCTGAGATGTTCATGCTAATATTGGCAAGCACAATAATCGGCCAAGGATAGGACTACTAGATGCTACTGCAGGGATGTTACTTCTGAAGATGAAGTAATGGAAGTAACCTACTGAACCGTGGAATATCTATTAACATAACCAGTTAGAATCTGTTTCTGATCTGGAACTGTCTCTCTAAATCCTACTGCCACTATAGTGATTCAGTATTCTTCAAAAAAAAAAAAAAAAAAAAAAAGCATCTTAAAAAGGGTCCTGAAATTTATTCTTTAAAAACAAACAAACAAACAAAAAATGAAATTGTCCCACTACATTAAAAAGAAAGCCACAAGTGCTTGTACCTAGTTTGTTTTTTTTTTGTTTTTTTTTTTAATATAAAAGACATTAGCCTTTTACATACAAGAAAATCATGACTATTTTTATGGACTCTGATGTAATTTTTCCATATTTGCATACAAAACCCAAACCACAAAAAGGATAAATGTCATCATTCCATGATACAAAGTTAAGATCCTAGAAAAGAAAGTGAAATTCTTTCAGTAAGCATGTTTGTTGCATAAATGATCCCCTTGGCGGGGAAAACGCGCAGACTGATGCTGTCGTTGCTAGCGAGGCAGCCAGCCAAAGGAAAGATTTCAGAGAGAGGAAGAACTTAATAACTGTACCAAATGCTTGAGGCAAATAAAAACCTTTGTTCTCCGAGGGGTAATAACAATACATAGTACCCTTTTCCCCTTCGCTATATCTCAGCTTAATAAAGGAAACTAGGTGAAGCCTCTGCTCTCTTTGTCACGGATACTGACCAAATTTAAGTCATGCTCAGAAGATGGGAAGAGATGGGCATCCAAGTAAAATCATAAAACAAAAACTTCCACTAGAAAGTCACGCAATACAACAGCCTTGGGTCTACATAATGAAAACCCCCCTAGGTTTATCTCAGGAGATGCAACTATCAGCATTACACTGGGTCTCGGAAAGAAAGAAATGACAAGAGTGTAAAGAGCGTAAAAGACATGAAAACGTTACCGTCACCAGTGTTTAGGGGCCCTTCCATTATTGTAGCTAACTGCTCTTTCAGGCCACCTAAAGCTGCCACTAGCACTGTGCTCTGCAAAATGAATTTCTGCGCAAGCTGGTTGTGACAAGTGAGGAATATGACCTTTCATGAAACCAATACCAGGCACCGCAGAGGTCAAATTACTATTAGACCCAGAAACTCTGTTTTCTAAATGGAAAACAGAGAAGCTAAACATGCATATGAGTCAGAACAGAGGCATGGCTGATATTCTAGAACGTGCCTGACATGCTCACTTGCTGTTTCCAAAGACTGCATTCTCGGGATGCATCCCAGAGCAGACAGTAACTCCAGGAATCTAGCAGATTATTATTTCCTACACAGCTCTGGAGGAGCCACAGGCTGATTTTTACTGCTAAGAGGGAAGATTGTTTTTTAAAGTGTAACCAAAGTAGAGTAACTTGGCTTCTAAGAATGGTAATACAAGGTTTCAAGCTGCTAGGCTCTCTGAAGACATGGTGATAAGCCCCATAAGCACTCCTGGGATTAAATTTAGGAGACAGAAGCAACCAAGACCAACAAACTGCCTTTGACCATCCTTAACAAACTGCTCTATCTAGGATGAAACCCCCCTTTAGTATATTACATTAAGTAGAGCTAGACATTAAAGGGCAGAACCATTGAAATCTACTAATAACACCCATGCAAGAAAGGAATTGATGAGAAATTCTTAATGGTTAATCAGACAATTCAGGTTTGCAGTAACTTGCCTGATCAATTGAAAATTGTGGAAAACAGATTCACAGAAAGGTCCACACACTACAAAAGTGAAGAGAA